TGTTGCAGGATCCATACTGAAAGATCTCTTTTTTTTTTTCTTTTTTTTTTTTTTCCTTCCTGTGAGTAATTAAAAGATGCTTTTCTTGACTAATGATCCCCCTGTTTAGAAATGGGAAGTCAATACTCCTTCACCAGCAGTCAGCTTCAATTTGTCACAGGGCTCCCGAAGTTTGAGTGGTGATTCTCAGGGCTGCTGGTAATTGCTGGAACCAATTACCAGCCTTCTAAAGCTGACCTAATCAGAAGCCCACGGACAACACTCACAGGCCAGCTGGTCCCCTTTTCCTTCTACATTCACATATTCTCCTGTGCTAGGTTTTTCTGCTGCTTTGCCAACTTTTCTTACCCACCAGGAGCTCATGTTAATTCCTCCTTCCTTGCTGTAGCCATGCGAACACCCGCAATCTGAACTTTGGCTCATGCTACTGCTTTACATTATGCCTCTTCCTTGGGGGATCCTTTTGCACCTGTGCTCTCATTATCTTCCAGTTTAATGCTAGATGCAATCCAAGGTGTTGCTTTTGATTCAGAGGCAGTGAATGACCCAGAGATCTGATTATTTTATAAACTGTCTCTCAGACTCTTACGAGATCTGGTGCAAGTTAACATTAGAGAATGCACCTGGCCAATATCCTTGATGAAAGTTGTGGGAGCCAGGACTTCTGCTACAAAACTTTCAGGCTTTGAGTTCACAAATTCCAACACGAGAGCCTTTGTGACCTTCAAAATACGCTTTCAGGTTTCCCATGATTTTCTCAGAGAAAGAGTTTTAGGTGAATATGAACGCACTAGGAAAGGACAGCAGTACGGTGTGTTTGATGTGGTTCAAGCCTGATTGTTGGTTGGACTTACTTCTGGGTGTACAAAATAAAATAAGCTGCACTCAAAGATTGGCGTAGGTCAATTTTTATACACACTGATGCCATTTGCCTGGGTAAGATGCCTCAATTGTGCTGTGGCCTAGAGTCAGTCATTCGGTAGTCCTTCACACTTCCCTCTACTCAACAAGAACACATGGAATTCCACTGCAGTCATTCTGTGCTGACTTCTCACAAGCAGAAAGGGCTGTTTTTGAAACCACGCTCATTAATATTTTTGGGTTCCCGTCAGTCTGACATGTGAATACTCCTTGAGCTTGCCAGGCCAACAGATACAATATTTGTGGAGCAGTCAAGAGTCCTTCCCTGCCCTTGAAAGCCTGTTCATTTGTGCTGATGGCTTCATCTCCAATAGAAAGAGACAAAGTGAAATAATGAAACCCTAAATTGCCTGGTTCTCTCTACAAATGTCTATTAACAGAGGGTCCATCGTTGTGCAGACAAGTTCTGGTGGTTTTGTGGGGAGAGGGGGCACAGCAGACAAAAGAAGAGCTAAAATACATGCTTATCATAAAGAAACACATGAAGGCTGTGTTTGTTTAAGGTCTTTTACAGATGCTTTGCATTAAGGCCTTTCAATCAGTTGGGAGAAAGGTTAAGAAGGTTCTTGTGTTCCCAATACTTTGTAGGCACTGACTCAAAGTCTGAGCAAGCATGTGGAAAACTATGGAGGTTAGGTTAATGAGTATACGTAGTGCAACTGAAAAGGGCAGTACCGTGAGAGACGTGTAATGAGGGGATGCAGAAGGGAACAGAGATACCATCAAGTTCAGGAGAAACTCTGAAGAAAACAGAATTACTTCTCTCCCCAGTCTGATGGGGCTTCGGTGGGAAATCATTAAAGCAGGAACACACTGAGTTACTGCCTCCTCACACAGCAGCTCTCAGACTCTGGCTGACCCAGTGGCTCAGCAGCGTGGGTAGGAACAACTCCCCAAGAGCACGTATCAGCTCTCTCACCCATCAGAAGTTGTTTTGCTGAATGCTCCCTTCCTTCCTGATCTCCACATATCCTCAGGCTCTCCAAATATCTCAGCTCCCCAGACGTATTTCTGCTTGCTTACACAAAAGAATGACAGATGGGCTGAGGTGGGCAGGGACCTCTGGGTCCTTCTGGCCCAACCCCTGCTCCAGCAGAGATACTCAGAGCAGGGTGCCCAGCACCACGTCAAGGTGGGTCTGAAGATCTCCAAGGAGACCATACAGCCTTTGTGTACCTGTGCTCTGATTGCACACAACCCTGATGGTCAGACGGAACCTCCTGTGCTCCAGTTTGTGCCCAGTGCCTCTGCTCCTGGCACTGGGTATCACTGACTCCATCCTGTCTGCACTCTCCTTCAGGTACTTACAGACATTGCTGGGACTCCCCCGAGCCTCCTCTCCCTCAGCCTGAGCAGCCTCAGCTCTCTCAACCTCTCCTCACAGCAGAGGACTCCACAAGGTTCTCCCAGCCCGTGTCTCAGCCTCCTCGCATCCCTCTGGGGCATCACTTGGGTGTCACCTGCAGGCTGACTGAGGGTACCCATCATCCACATCATGATGAAATACGTTAAACAGGATGGCATCCACTGATCTCCGAGGTACTTTCTTGCCTCCTCACTTTTTTTGCTAACCCCACTTAAAATCTATTTTCGCTGCTCCTAACAGGAATCCTCGTGCAAAACTCAAAGCAAAAGAAAAAGCTGAACGCAGTCTGAGATGCTGGCCTTATTTTCTTGTCCTGTCTTGGGCAGAAGGATTAACAGGCTAATAGAAGACCAAAGTAAAGTACAAAGGGAAGCACACGCTTTGAAAAAGGCAGAATTTCAGATATTCCTCTGTAAAGTATCATTCATGTCCTGCTCCGAACAGCAGGAAAAAGATGGAGTGAGGAGAACAAGATTAAAATTGTTCTGTGGGCAAATTTTCACATAATCTTAGCTTTATTTTCTCTATCATCTATCTTTTCCAGTACGTAAGTATGCACTTGAACACATAATTGGAAACACAAAATTAATCTTTATATCTTTTGTGCCTATAACAGTCCAGAAAGAAAGAAAGAAAAATTACATCACTGACAAACTTTAACAGCAAAATATAAACATGTCGTACAGAAACAAAGGATTAAAATAAGCTCTGAGCAAGAAATGCAAGAAGAGTTGATTTTATATAAGTAAGACTCACCTCCAAATGTGAAAAACTGAGTTATTTAATCTTCATCACACGTGGTGTCAATGTATCACGATAATGTCTTTAATTTACAGATGAATCCTAACACGGTGCTATTTAAATATACCCAATTAAGTGCATGCCTTTCTTTTTGATGTATATTTTCTCCTCACCTCAATAGTAAGGACCAGGATCCATTTGTTAAGTGCAGCAGTGTAAGGTATTTTTGGATCAGGCAGAAAGCAATACTAATGACAGAAAGGCAATAAGAAGTTCATTTCAACCTAACTGATGAAATGACTGTATTTACTGTATAATAGCACACGTGTATGTTAGCAGACACACAGTTTATGTATGGGTGAAGTCTGTGTAGGTCTCTTTGAACGCATTTATATGCATAGCCATTCCCCCAAGTAGCCTGATTAATGTACTTTGCTTCATTCTCGAAGACGAACCAAAGGTGGCACCACAAATTCATTTTTCAGTGCTAACGAAATAATGCAATAAGAAACAGTTGACTTTATTGCAGACAACAGCACAACCCTACTTCTGCACAGCAAGAGGTGGCACTGCTACAAACTCCCAGGTTATAATTTCACTTGATCCAGCACGGGAAAAAGCAAAACCCATCCATACATAAGCAAAATAGGGATACAATTCCCTCTGACTTCTTTTATATGAAGGAAGCAAACACTGAGAGCCTAACCTCTGTCCTATCATTTGCTGCCTAGGGACTGAATGGTGCTCAGACACAGGCTGCTGCCCCAGAGCTCACACTCAGACAATTACAACACACTTCTAAAGACAACTGAGAAGATTGGCCCAGCTGGGTGAGGTAGTCCAGAAGGTCTTCCTCCCTTCCTCTGAAATACAGTCTGCCAGAAGTCACTCTGCGTCTCCCAGGCTATATGTTAGTTAGAACTATTAGAACCTACACTTCAAATCCACTAAAATCAGCAAGTCTTCCTTTCTTTGACAGCGATCAGATAAATTAAGCATAAAAAACCTTCAGACTTCAGTGGGATAATACATCATGAAAGATTTTCACTGTGCTGAGCTAAGGCTGGTAGGTAAAATTGTTCTCACAGGAAACACGCGTTCCCCCATCAACTTACGCCTTCGTATTTATCACGTAAAGAAAGTAAGCAAGTCCAGCTGAGAAGGACTTTCACCACAGCTGTGATGAGAACCCGAAGACCTGACAGCCAGATGCAAATTGCATGGTAGTGTCCTGGCTGAGCCTGAACTACTGAAGGCAGATTATTAATCATAAACTGATAGTCCAAGAGCCAGAACTTTGTGGCTTAACAAAACAAAGAAACTTATGACAGTATAATTTAGATTGAAGTATAACCAAGTGGGAGGTTAAAACTCCCACTGTTTTGTCAGTCAGTGAATTGTACAAAAAACTGGAGAGCTGCTCAGAAAGCCTTCACAGGCATGAATGAGTATGAGGGTCACCTAGTTCTGACACACATCTCATTCGATGTATATTCTTCCTGGACTTGCAGTGAAGACATTTACCCAATGATTTTTACAAGGGGTGCATGAAGGAAGAATTTAAGTCTATGTTGTGAATCATAGAATGACCTGGGTTGAAAAGGAGCACAATGCTCATCTGGTTCCAACCCCCTGCTGTGTGCAGGGTCACCAACCAGCAGCCCAGGCTGCCCAGAGCCACATCCAGCCTGGCCTTGAATGCCTGCAGGGATGGGGCATCCACAGCTCCTTGGGCAACCTGTTCCAGTGCCTCACCACCCTCTGTGTGAAAAACTTCCTTCTAATATCCAACCTGAACCTCCCCTGTCTCGGTTTAAAACCATTCCCCATTGTCCTACCACCTGTGACTGAGATGCCAAAATAAGGGATTAATTGCTGAGGCTCATGGTTTACAGTTTACAGTCTTTGCCACCCGTACAATTACACGCTGCCCAACCACTGCATGCCACAGTCATGGAGAAAGAAACCATACCTCGTGGAATCTGATGAAGGTTTCATATGGCCTTGGCTGCTCTCCTCCCAAACGCTGTTTGCCAGCTCATTCCCAATTGAAGACATCACCTTGATGAGCTCTATAGGCCAGTCATCCAGGTCAAGAGAGCGGACTCGGGAGAGGTGTGTGCCAAGGTTTCGGTGTATACCTGAGCATTCGATACATATGAGGGCTCCCAGATTCAAGCTGGCCCAGTCAGGGTCTGCAGAAGAAAGGACAAAGGCCATCATCAGCTCAATAAAACACCAAACAAAACTTTCTGGTTAATATTTGTGGATAAAGATTTCGCCTCCAAACACAATGGGAAAAAAAATATTCCGGCGTCCTCGTTCACAGCACAGTTGGGAAGTCTAGCAGAAGGCTCTATTTTGCCTTCTTAAGGCACTAATGAGAAACCCTAAGGGGGGAGGGATCACAAGAGATGCAGCCCAGCTTCAGTCAAAAGGAAAAGGTGAATAAGAAAGAAAAGAAGAAACAAAGAAAATATAAGCAGGCAGCTTATGAAGAAGTAGTAGAAAAAGTCCCTCCTTGGGAATCTAGAGTCACTCGTAGCCAATTACAAGAGAAAAAGAAGAAAAAAAAAAAGAGTAGACACAATGTCTCTGTTGCTAACTATATCAACTCCCTTAATAACCATCTATATCATCACCTACATATGGCTTTTACATCTAACACACTATGGGGTATGTTTTCATCTCTAAGATCAGGGAGATAAGTACTAAGATGAAAATGTGATGCTTTGAACAGTCCCAGTTTTAGTGTACTAGCCAGAAGGATTCCACAGACAAAAAAAAAAATAACCCTGCAAATGATGAGGCAGCGACAAACCTGACAAAAGCCGGGAAATTCAAAGTCATTTCCCAAGATGGTTCACTTTTTGTCACTGTCCTGTGTTATTTAAATCTAGGTTTGTATGAATATCCCTCTTCAACAAACATTCACTTCAACAAATGCAATGAAAGACTTTATGGGAGGAATTTTTGGTGGCTTTTTTCCCACCTGCTGTCAGATCTTTTCTTCTCTCTTTACCCTGGGCCTCCCAAAGAATGAGGCGACTATCGCAAATGACAAGCAGGAAAATCACCATTAATTGAGAGGGTAGGCACAATTTTCATTCAAATCTAAACAAAATTCTGAGCCGACAGGAAATACGTTTCCAGTGTCCCCTTCTATTCGTGCAAATGTCATCAGAGGACTTTGGCAATATTTCCAGTTTGTGTCACTCAAAATTAAAAAATCATCTTTGGCAACCAAAATACGAGCAAGGAATATGTTTCTTAGTTTTCTGCCATGTCACAAGTGGACAGAAAGGACACTTCAAATGTACCCCGAAGATAGAAGATAAGCGTAAGATTTCACTGAAAAAGCAGATGTTCTCTCGTCAGTCTTCAGAAATTGAAATGGAAAAAAAAAATTATAGAAATTAGAAGGGAAAAAAAAAATAACCTACACCACAAGAAAACCCACCACCCTATTTCAGTTAAGCAGAAAAACAGATCTTTTGTTTAAAAAGTTTCTAAGGTAAGTCTTACGCTAGGAAGAAACAGCAAGCATTTCAGATCTCCAGAAATACAGAAGACAAAACGCCTGCCGTGCCTCACAAGTCCTTGGGAAGACAAGCATTAAACATTCCTTTCTTGCATATTTGTCCAGGTCACCTCCATGAGTTACTTGCAGTGTCTTGCAGACAGAAGGGGAACTCGAGCAGTATGTGTGAAATACACTAATGTGCTAATTTGTGTGTAAAAGCTTAAATGGGGCAGATATTTGGTTTAAACTGATAAACTGAGACTTAGAATGAAATCTCTGCCCCTGACCTGCAAAGGCCAGGGTTATCTTCACAGACACAAAAGGCGTCAGGAGCTGAAAGAAGCACTAATTCAGAATGCAGCAAGAGAAAAATTACTGATAAATATTTTTGCAATTATTCCACCACTGCCCCACACTGTCTTAACATCCACTGTTTGGTCTCCATCAACGTTCAGCAAGTGTTGGTACTCCATGGGTGTTATCTTTTCTTCATGGAGGAATTCAACTGCACTTTTTTGCTTCATATGCCCTTCCATGTCTGATGCCATTCTGTCAGCCTGCCCCTCAGCTGCCATCTGTCACACAGCAACAAAACAATGGGACACGGTGGCAATGTTCAGCCTGCTATACCTCCAATTCTGCCTCTGATGTTGCAGACCAAAAAACAGGAGGCATTACGTTTGGAGCAGCCTTCGTAGACGACCAGGGATGGCTCCTTGTGAAATTCAGTGCTCCTGTCTAACATCTTAAGCTGTAACTGGTAAAATAGGGGCATTTTTACATTGTTGAATACTCCCAGATTAAATGCTTCATTTTCTCCTCTAAAAACTTCCTCCCATTTTGGCTTGAACTTTGATCAAATGGAATCACTTGAAGGAGGAAGCTTTGGAGACAACTATTTTGGGAGAATAACCCTCTCCATCTCCTTCATCGCTGCGGACACGAGGAGGCTGATGGAAGAGTCACCCATGCTAAACTCATCTGGATTCAGCACGGCAAAGAGTGCCAACCTGAGCAGGGGCATCTCTGAAGAGAGGAGCAGAAGAGCAGGGAAAGGAGGAGCAGCAGTTGGTTGCGAAAGGAGGAGCAGCATCTTGCAGAGCTGGAGCAAAGAGCGAGAAAAAGGCCTAGCTTTTCTATCCTTTGAGAATTTTATTCTATGTACAGAAAAAAAAGGAATTCTGGTGATGGGTCTGACAGGCTGCCAAATCCAAAAAGTACCACCACCATGGAAAAGCCATGATGAGACTCTTGTTTTTAGAGGAAAGCAAGAGAATTGACGAGGCACCTCAGAGGAGTGAGCCAAGATTATCCTCTGGCATCTTTACAACGGGAGGAGGCAGAAATGGAGCTGTGGGCAGAAATTCAGCCCCGGGACAGGAAAGTTAGGACAGGAGTTTGACAAAGCTCAGCACAGGGCGGCTAAAGGGCCAGCAGCCTGCAGCACGCCAGTACAACAAAGCAGCAATTCCCCAGTGAAACAAAGCGCTGTAATGAAGTGCTAAAAAGCCAAACAGCTCTAGAAAGAGGAAGAATGAGACTTCTGAAGTGGAAGATTGATGGCTCTTGAATAGAACCGAGGGACAGCAACATCTCGTATTCCTTTGCTGTCAAACATCTGGCTTTGTGAGGATGCAAATTACGTCAGCTTTCCACAGCAGCGCCGGTGTTTGTGATGCAAAGCGCTCTGGGGTAAGGCAGAAAGGGAAAAAAAGCAAATGCTGGCAACGAGAGGAGCGGGCTGAGGCTCACAGCGAGCACAGCTTTACGTTCTGATGCACATCGCTTCGGAACCAGCCCAGATTTTTCAAGGGAAATACAGAAGCTTTAAAAGTAGGGAGGCCAAAAGGCAAGGGGGACTGAAGGTTTGAATCATTTCCAGGAATACGAACTACGAATTCAGTTTCCAGCTGAGGTTCCAAAATCACCCTCCAACCCCCAAGCCGTACAAGCAAGGCCTGGCAAAAAGCACATGCCCATCCTGCCCTCTGTCTGCAGTGTGCTCCTGGCACATCCCTTCTGCTGGCCAGCTGGCCCCAAGGAGCAATCTGGATGAACAACTAGGCTGACAGGAAAAGGAGAAAAAAAACGATTGGAAGGACATGTTTGCAGTAAATGAATCACACTTTTCTACTCTGCTTGGGTAACCAGTTAGCAGGGTTTAGGAAAATGCTACCCACTTCGGTAAAGGCTGGAGCAGGAATCAGTCACACTGCCATTCTGTTCAGGTACTTCAGAGAATCAAAATGTACGTCTTGGTCACTTGAAGACCTCATCCTCGTCAAACAAAGCACAGCATCTTAAAAAGCTATTCCCTGTGCTATACCAAAACCTTGGAATAAATCTGAGTGACTACAGCTTAATATGAAAGAATGTGAAGAAATACACATCTTTTTGGTGGTCTACACATGTCAAAATACCAGCCAAACTAACATTTTTCCTTGCTTAACACACCTTGGTTTACCAGACAGTGGAACATAAAGTCCTTAATTCATCAGTGTTGGCAAACCTGTGGTATTTCCACCAATGATCTCCTCCACGCAGGTCAACAAGCTGTTCTGACAGAGTCTGAGACTGGTGCTCAAAGACTAGTCCAGCCAAGCTCACATCCCTGCAGGCTGAACTGCTGGGGACAGAGCAGCTGCCTTTGTTCCTGAGCCATCAGAATATGAATATCTGACAATTTTCAAAAGAATCAATTAAAATCAATCTATGTGTGAAGAACATTTTGAAGGCATGGACTGGAAATGTCTGTGAATGTGCTAACCACCTTCCTTCAGACCTTTTGGAGTTGAAGCAGGGCACAATAGGTTTGTTTGCTGTGTGGATGACCGAATCAGCTAAATTGCTAGCTATGGAGACAGGAAATTAATCGTGCAAAAGCACTTGCACATCTGTATGAATGTTCATTTTAAATTTAACTAGGAAGTTTAAATGGCTTGAGACAAGGAGTCAAAATCTTAAACAGTACATCTTAAAAAAAAAAAAGTACTCAAAGAAAAATAAATGAATATTTTTCCATTTTAAGCACATGTAAAATCACAAGAAAAGTTCTGACTTACAGATATCAAAGAAGTAAAAATGCAGGAGTTCTCAGTCCTTCTGCTCCTACAACTAATTGCTTTAGAGCAAGAGTACTTCCTTTTTATGGCTTTGTTACAAACCTCTGGAACTAAAGAGCAACAGAATAATGACCTCAGCTGGGGTTAGTGAGGTGAAGAGCAGCTCAAAGTATTCTTGAGAACATTTCTGAACATTAGATATGTGTTAAAAAAAAAGGGGGGGGAAAAGAGACATAGAAAGGAAATAACTCTCAAATCAGTTTTCTGGTATCCACATACAACAAGGAATAACCTTTGTTTCTTCTGATGAGTAATTCTAAAACCAACCAACAAACAAAAACACCTCACAAATTAAGCTTTAATTCTCTGAAAATACGACCACAGTACACGTGTCTTCTCCACCCAAAGCAGGAAGAAAATGGAAGTAGCTGATGTCAAAGAACAAACTCCTTTTTCCTTTTCTTCACAGGAAAGTGAAGACATGTCCACGTTTGAAGCGGTAAGTACAAGAGGGAAGAAAACAAATTAGACTTATCTGACAGAGTGTATATTAAATATAAATTAACATGAAATCAATCTGATAAGCAAACTCCGCAACGAAGAAGAGAGGTGAACATAACATATGGAAGGTAATGCCAAAAAAGACAAAGCCCATGGTGGACGTTCACCTATCTCTTGGCCAAGGAACCAAGGAGGGCAGCTTTCTGAAGCACAACACACCACGCTGCCTCCAGAAGCAGCTGTACTTACTCTGTGCTTCACAGTCCACGCAGTGGGAATTGCCTCTGATGCTCCTTATCGACTGAAGGGCCATGGCCTCATTCTGACTTGTCAGGCGCGACTGGAAATGTGAAGGAAGGCGTACGGAACGAACAAGAGAGCAATAAACAGGGTTAGTCAGCACCACTGTCAGCAAATGGGGAAAGAAACAACACAGAGCTCAGCTCAAGTCTGAACGAACAAGGATCCTGAAGTCCTTGGCCAATGCTCTTTGCTCGGATCCGCAGGGTCTGTCACCATGTGCTAGTTCAGCTCTTCCCAATTAAACCATTCTAAGAATAAAATCGACAGCTTTAACAAACTAGGGGCTCTCTGAACATAATTTTCAAATGACAAAAAAAAAAAAGGCCATGTGGAGATGTTCCATCACAACATCTACTGCTTCCCTACTTGCTGTACTTACAGTATTTCAGTTAGTTCTTTTGACATGTTGTGAGACCGTGGACCTACCTTACAGAAGAAAACCTCTGTAGCAGGTTGAGTATGCTTAAGTATCCTTATATTGAGTATACATAATCAGAAAAGACCCCTCTACAATCAGAATCTTAACAATTGATTCTACTTTTATACAAAAGCCAATCTTCTCTGTAGGTACTGGATAGTGACTGCTACCAGCCATTCTTTGCCTCGCTTTGTGTAAGTGCTCTAAACACAGGTGTTAGCATACAGATTTCTCTGTTGTGCTCCCTTAATGTAAACATTAAGGTACACGTAAATCCATGAAAGTCAGACATAAAACCAAACAGGTTATGATTTTTCACTATCTCAGAAATGTGTAATGGAATCAAACATTATTATCCCGATTATTATTGGAAACATACACTGGAAACAAGCAAAACACCTATGCTGGTAGGATGGGGTAATGAAAGCAGGCATTCATTGTAAAACCTGAATTTTCCTCTTGCAAAGACATTGCTTAGATGGATAGTGTGCAGCTCTAACACTACATGTTTTTCTCTAGGAGATGAGGTTTCAAGCTCAGTGTTCTTGATTTTGCTTTCCTCAATGATCAACCACCTGTTAGTTATTCTCAGTGTTACTCCATGTGCCATACCTTGTTCTTGCTGCTCTCACAGGACTGTAAACTGGCCAAGATCTGACTCTCTATGGCTTGTACCCACGCATCTCTTTCTTCGTATGTGGTAGCTTCAAAGTGCCAAGTCTGGCCAGTGAGAGAGACAATGATAAACTCAAAGTTTTCTTCTTGTTCTGAAAAAAGACATGCAATAGGAGAAAGGTTTAAGATTAAGGATATCAACAAACAGGCCTAAGCAAGTGCAAGTCTGAATGTTGGAGATTTTAGGCTAAGTATATCCAACCCTGAAGCCGCACAATGCATCAAAAACAACTCACAGATCCAGCATTTTTGTCTCAAAACATTACATGAATAAAGTACTATTTTGTTCAAATATACAGATCTTGTGTGCATTTATCTGTTCAGTGTTGAGTCTATCCAATCACAAAGTGGCTAACAGGCATCATTTAGACTTCAACCTGACATGTTCAGAGCTACACACTGTAAAAAAAACAACCCACAAAGTGTGCCACGAAATAACTAAAAGGATGAATGCATTATAGAGAGTTGACAATACAAAGCTTAAGAGTTTGTGCTCTTCCTTCCACCACGTCTGTACGTGCAGAGATGTGTTGAAAGCAGATACGTGCATTTTCGGTCTACAGCACAAATACACTAGATTATAACACAGGATTAAAATCAGTTCAACCTATTCACATTGGGAGAGATGAGAAAATGATCTAAGAAGCTAGCAGAAAGGGTCAGTGAAAACCCCTCAGGGCCACTACGGAATAAGGACAAGTATTCAGGCCAAAGCACTGCAGCGTATGAAAACACCAACAAACCTAAACTAAATGGACATGCTCTACCTACACATGGGATACCAAAATCAAATTAAAAAAAGGCAAGGAGGCTGAGATGGTGGAATCAGGAAGGGCAGGCATGAAGCATGGAAGGAAGATTACAACACAGCACAAAGTTCTGGTGAGCATCAGATGTAATGGGCTTTGCAAAACGCATTCACTTGTCTACTGATGACTTATCAGACATTCAGGGCCACGGAACTCCTGCATTACCTTGTCATCCATAAGCATATAAAGATGTGACAAATCTAGAGCTGGCTTTAAATGCAGTACTGCTGCTCAATGGAAGTCATTTTTTCAGCCTGTGGGATAATTAGTTTTCCTGCCTTCACAGTCCCATGTGCTGCCTGTCCTACTACTGTAGGATAACACAGCATTGCAGAACAACAACCGAAGCACCTCCAGAAAGCCTTGTTGAAGGGAAGAGAGACCTCACACAGACCAGAGAACACTAGCAGAGGAGGACATGGAAAAGTGAATCTCACATGCAGCAGCTCCCTGTAGAGTCCAGTTTAGGAGATGCGTCATTCTTAGGCCTTTTAGTGGCTTCTAAATGATAAAATCTTTGTACTTCCAGAGTCTTAATAAATAAGAGATTTTCGTATTAAATAGGAAAGCAAAGTATTAATGTTTTAATGCTGGGGTAGGCAATCTGAACAAGATGCACATATTTCTTTCCTGCTCCTCACGTTTCTCCTGACCTGCTCCCCAGCAGTGGCCCTGCAGCCAGAGCTGCCCATCACTGCCCTCACTGCAGTCCAACGCATCGCCCAGGACCTCACAGCCATCTCTGTTAGGAGAGGAAGGATGGAAATGATCTGCTCCATGATCTGCCCAGGCACAGAGCTGAGGCTCACCGCCCTCACCCTTTCTTAAACATGGGAGCAACGTTTCCCTTTCTCCAGTCACCGGGGACTTCACCAGACAGCCATTATTGTTCAAATATGATGGAGAGCGGCTTGGCAGCCACATCAGCCATCTCTCTCAGAGCCCCAGGATGGATATCATCCCGCCCCATGGATTTATATGCATTCAGTTACACCAGGAGGACTCGGCCTTGTTCCACCGTTGCAGTGGTACAGAATCCCACCCCACGCCTAACTCAAATCTCCCCTCCTTTACGTTAGAACCATTCCCCCTTTGTCCAATCACCATCACCACACAAAAAATTCGTTTCCCTTCTCTTTATAATCTCCTTTGAAACAATGGAAGTCTGCACTGAGCAACCACAGCAAGCAGGGCAGGCACAGAGCAATGCCTGTGTCACCATGGGACCGTGTCACAGAGGTGCACTGTGACCTCAGGGGAGAGGGGCTGACCCCAGCGGTCACGGAACCCCCCACTGCCACTCTCGAGCTACCTTGGCAGGTAAGGCAGCAGGCTCCCTCTGCTCCTGGCACGGCAGCCCTCCAGGGGATGCCAGTGCCCCAGATCTCACCCAGCGCCCATCTGGGCATTTCTCCACAGAGAGAATTTCTCCACGGATGCCGACGGTGCTTTCGACACCTGACGCGATTATCCTTGGATCCTTTGTGCCTCCACTGACCACTCCTGCAATGCAGACCAACAGCAGCGGAGTAGTGCCAGTGTCAACCCAACCCCTCCCTGTCCCCAATGTCACCTACGTGGTGCCTCAGGCTTCTGTCTGGCCTGGGGTACAAGGTGTCCAAGGACAGGGAGTGCAGCTCCCACCTGGAGGGATGGCCCCAGCAGTGGTTCAGCTCCCACCTGGGGGGGTCTCCCAAGTGGTTCAGCTGCCACCTGGGGTGATGCCCCAGGTTGTGGGTCAGCTCCCGCCTGGGGGAATGGCCCCAACAGTGGTTCAGCTGCCACCTGGGGCGGTCCCGCAAGTTGTGGGTCAGCTGCCCTCTGGGGTGATGCCCCAAGCTGTGGGACAGCTCCCACCTGGGGGGGTCCCCCAGGTTGTGGGTCAGCTCCCAACTGGGATGATAACCCAAGTTGTGGGTCAGCTCCCAGCTGGGGGAATGGCCCCAACAGTGGTTCAGCTGCCACCTGGAGGGGTGCCCCAGGTTGTGGGTCAGCTCCCACCTGGGGTGATAACCCAAGCTGTGGGTCAGCTCCCAGCTGGGGGAATGGCCCCAACAGTGGTTCAGCTGCCACCTGGAGGGGTCCCCCAGGTTGTGGGTCAGCTCCCAACTGGGATGATAACCCAAGTTGTGGGTCAGCTCCCAGCTGGGGGAATGGCCCCAACAGTGGTTCAGCTGCCACCTGGAGGGGTGCCCCAGGTTGTGGGTCAGCTCCCACCTGGGGAGAAGCCCCCAACTGTGGGTAAGCGGCCACGTGGGAGGAAGCCTCCAACCGTGGGTCAGCTCCCACCTCAGGGGGTGCCTCCCATTGTGGTTCACCTCACTTCTGAGGGGCTGCCCATAGTTGTGGGTCAACTGCATCCTGGGCAGCAGGAGTTACCCCTGCTCTTGCTCCTACCCGGGGGCATGAAGCCGGGTATGCCTCCCCCCAATGCCCCTGCCCACTACTGGGATAACCCCCCAGTGGCAGGGACGATGCAGCCCCAGCAGCCGACGGGGCCGCAGCCTGGGGCCGCGTTGCATGGGCAGCTCCCACAGCCTGCAGGCAGCTGCCCGCTGCAGGCTCCCAGCCAGCCCGGCCCCTCAACTGTCCTCCAAGGACCTCCAGTGCGACAGCGGGTGCGCTTTGTGCCTGGCACCCTGCCCACCATCTTAGAGCAGGAGGAGGAGCCCTTTGGAGACGCCGTGGTGCACACGGAGGACCAGGGGCAGCCAGCACCCATCAGCGAGTGCCCCCATCCCACCACGGCTCCGCTCACCTGCAGCATCGCAGCGCTGGAATCAGGTGGTGAGTTTGGGGGCTGCAGAGCAGGCAGCAGGCTGGCCGCACTGGGTGGCTGTGGAAAAGATGGCACTGCCTCACGGCGGATTTTCTTGCTTTTCCAGCAGCGACAACCAGCTCAGATATCCCAGAGGACATCACCAACATCAGTGACCTTCTGGCTTGGATGAATAGTGGTGAGTTCAGGGGCAGCAGAGCTGGCGGGGGAGTGTTTGCACCCATTTGCTGTGGGAAAGCTGGCCTTAACCCTGTGGTGATTTTCTTCCTTTTCCAGAAGTGGCACCCAAAGAGGTCCCGGATGACATCCCGGGCATGGATGATCACTCAGCCGAGTGCCCAGCCCCTGCCTGCACCACCAGCGGACACCAGCAGAGCACTGGCAGCATCCGAGCCACCAAGAGGAAGCTGCCACAGAGCCAGGATGCTCCTGAGCAAAAGCGCTCGCGCTAGGTGGAGCTGGGTGGGCTCAGCAAACACGGGAGCATCTGCAGAAACCAGCCCACGTGGTGCAGCAGGAGACACGGCCACAGCCAACAAATCAGGCTACCTGTAGCCCTGGGCTCCTCGCCGGCCCTCGCACAAGCAGCAGCAGTGCTCCAGGGGCACCGGCCCCAGCCCAACCCCTCCAAACCTGGGCTGTCCACCAACAACACCTTGGACTGGGACAGCGTGGGACGCCATTAGATTATGTTATGTTATGATATTTTATGTTACTTTATGTTCAATTACATTAAATTACTTTAAATTACTCAGTGTGTCATATTCACTTTGCTACGACGACCTGCAGTTGTTTATACAGCAGCAACAAATGCTGCCACTGAATCCTCCAGCTCAGAGCAATCTTCAATATAGAATGCAACCTCTTCCATACACAGTGCTTCCCTGTGCAGGTATGCGATTAGAGGTATGAAGAGGAATGCAAAGTTTTCAATAAAGTGCACACCAGGAGGAAGAAATCCAGGAACAGCAGAAGAAACAGAAATGTTAAGCTCAAAGATTTTCACAGCAATTACTCATTGCAGGTGCTATTGAGGTGAGTGCATCAGTATGGTGGCCATGACCCCTCAATGTGCAAAAAGCAAGAACACCCTGCTGGGATGCACAACAAGAGGAGACATCAGCATGGACAGAGCTAATGTGTCTAATAATCAACAAGCACATATTTAATCTCTACAGTAATCCTGTCACAGCTTGGCCCAAAATTTCAGCATCCAAGTATGCAGTGATTTCCCAGATTTACAGTTTCAGGACCTGAAAGAGGTGTACAGATCCAAGATACAGCATGACTGAATTCTCCCACCTAGTAATCCTGATCCCATACCTAGGAATTGGTTATGAGCAACAAATTCTGCAATCCAGCCTAGCCTGTAAGGGAGGTTTGAAATCCCATCCTCAAACAGTATCCCTGCAAGCTTTGCACAAAATGCTGCACCAAAGTCATTCCTCTGCTCATGGAAGACCTACTGCCCAATGGAGACACACATTTGGGACCACCATCAGCC